AAAAAAAAAAAAAAAAAAAAAAAAAACAATTTGAGATGAAAATAAACTATTTCAAAAACCTGTTATGCCTTAAAAGCTTCTTCTGAAAACCAAGACTTTTGATATCCTAGGGCGTAAGTACCACAAACTCAAAGAACTGTAAAACGCTCAGCCATTTCTGATCATTTGCATTCTCAGTTTATTTCACAAGAACAATAAGGTTCCTACTAAGGAACTGCAACAAAATCAGTCAAGTACGACAATCAAGTGAGGGAAAAAGCTGATTAACTAACTGGGATGTTCAGTCTCATTTCTTTCGCTTGCGTATCTTTCAGCGTCCGCTGAAGTCGCCCCCAAATCTCCTGTACATTCAACAGAAGACCGTTCCCTAAAATGAACAACCACACTTTGAACTGTAGCTAACTGAAAAACCGTTTTTATAAAGGAGAAAACTTAAATTACTGAAATCATGTAACAAGAAATACTTCTTAAACCCCACATCTAGTCATTTGTCTAAATTAAATCCCGGAAGAGGAAAACCAGATTTTGATAATCAAGTAACACACGATATTTTTTTAAAACATTCACCGCGTGCGGTTTTTTTTAAATTAAATGTTCCTTATAATCTATTAAAAGTGTGCTGTCCACCTATTGTAGATCACCTACTGGATAAGATTAGATATATAAGTAACCTTACGAGCAAAGAATAAACAAAATATGAGAAAAAAAAAGCATAAAATTAATAGCAATTTCAATGTAAAACAAAATGAAACCATTGCGCTCTTAATGAGTCTTCAGCAGTCATCAGTTTCTGATAGTACTTTACCAACTTATCACCAGCACGAAAACATTGTGAGGGTTGGTTACGTAAACTTTGAGCCTCCCTCAGCTCCTATAAACAACAACTAGGTATGACTTGACGATGAAAGAAATAACAAAGATCCATACTTTATGAAGACACTGAAACACTGTCCACATTGCCTGAACAGATATAGGTCGGAAAAGATGGACAGATGAGTCACAGTCGACTGCAATACCCCCATCTCCATCTAGACGAACATTTGTCGTCGCATGAATTGGAATAACTACTCCAATCCTAAAGCAGAAATGTTAAATCCAAAAAAACCTGAGAACCCAAACAATTCTTCTCAAATGTTCATGAATTTTGCAAAAAGTTAAAAATTTTTACGGATAAAAAGATGCACTAAAAAACTGCAATTAACTCACGAAGCTTTTTCTCCATTAAAACAATCCACGCCAAGAAGAACGCTCTCGCGGTACTCGCTATCTGACTCGCGCAAATTCGTTGAGGACTTAACAAGAGCTAAGTAATGAGCCTGCGGTCCATCGTTTTCCACCTCTGCATTCCACTGGAGGCGTACAGCCATAGTCAAAGTATCTTGCGGCGGTAGTACACGAAGCATCGCTTGTAGATGCATTTCAATCTCACCTTCAAGTTATTAGTAGCAACCAGCTGTTTCTGTCAAAAATTTAAAAATTTCTATGACCTTCCTCCAGTTCAGCTTGATTTAGGATAAAATAACAGTCTTACTAGTTCAACAAGTTCAAAAATTTACCTCCAGCGGAAGCATGGCTCACATTTGTTCGATCGTGATGAAAGAGAATTACTGCAGTACCCTTAACATAAAAATAACATTCACTGCTAATGCTCGTCTCTCGCGATGAAGTCGATTCACATAACGAATCAATACAATCCTGTAAACAACATAGGTAAGAACACTTCGAAGCTAATAAACATGAACACTGAAAATCAAAGACTCGAATAAATGACCCTGTACCACCAAATCTATCAAAATTCAGTAGACTACAAAGTAAAGACCTGTCAAATACCAATTATTAGTAATTACTATTTGAAAAATGAAAACTAGTAGGAACCCCTGGACATACAAATGTTATCTGAATGCAATGGCGGTAATAAAAAATAACTTCTTGTTCTATAAGCACGCTTAAACGAGTTCAAAACAAAAGCAGAATTAATGTGGTTATCTTTTGAGCTGAAAATTGGTTGTTTTTTCATTGAAACAGAAAGTGGTTACAAAAAAGATCAAAATTTAGGACCTAGTCAAAGGTAAAATAAACGAGTAAAACGTAATTTTTAATAAAAAATAAACGAAAAAGAAAAGTACCAATATTCTTCTCAGTTGGAAAAACACTAAGTACTTTGGAAATTGAAAAAGAGAGGTGCTGTTATTGTCATGAAAAAGTAATGCTAGAGCATAAAAAATAAACAGTAAAAGATAAAACACTACACCACCGGCAAACTGTAGCAAACATAATAGATTTCAAAGCTCCCCCAAACAAAGAAGTAAATAAAAGGAGCAGAAGACTGAGGCATACTTTACTGTAAGCTCAGACATCTTTAACAAAAGAAAACCACTTGTAAACAAACGCCCACAGATGCTATTACAACAGCATTTTGCTGCGATTTAAAGAATACGAAAATCTAACTAGCTGGTCAAAATTGGTCCTTTCGCTTGGCGTTGGAGAGCGCTGCACGGTAACTAATGACATCTTTTTAACGCACTTTAAGAACTAAAACATTTAGCAGTCATCCATACAATGATCAGTTGGCAGAAAACTGCACATCAAATTTTGCAAAAAAAAAAAATTTTTTTTACTGTTGACGTTAACCGAAAATCTATCTACCAAAACGTTATTAAAAAATGAGTGTAGATTAAAGTTCTAAATAATTAAATTTTCTGCAGAGAAAAGCTTAAACAGTCACTCTGCACAAACAGAATTTTCTACAAGGGTAAAGTATGTTTGTAAAACAAGAAGTGTAAGAAGCCTACCTTCTATTACCATGTATAATTAACATTAATAAAAAATTATTGAGTACAAGAAGCCAAATTCGGTTAGTCTCGTGGCCGGGACTGAAGGCGCTCAACCTTCAAATCAACCTCGGGCCTACTGTGCAACAATTGCAGGTATAATGATTAATGATCTAAATGAAAAAATAATCAGAATTAGGAACATGCATTACGTCGCTATATACCAACATACTTTGCAGTATACGACTAACCCTTTAAAACAAGGTTTCAAGAAACCAGTAATCT